GGGGGGAGGGCATTTTCCCACTTGCAGCAAGGTAAAGACAATGGGCTCATGTCACATGTCCACGGTGTGGCATGAAAGATGAGCACCAGAACCTCTTCCTGTGTCTGCTCACTGGACCTGATTAAGAAAACACATGCAGCATCCATCGCAACCTGGATGACCTCGGGTAACACGCTTCTTTTGAGACATGTGAGGTTTTTCTAGGCTTAGTCCCTTCCTCAAGCCTCCTTAAGTCAGACTGCCAGGAAGAGGTTCCAGGGTTCATCTTTCATGTGGCACTGATACTTCAGATGAGCCCATGGTCTTGTCTTGCTGTGAGTGATTTTAATATTTACTCAAAACTATATTTAACGCAATGCCTGCAGCTTCTTTGCTTGTGTTTTTTCTCTATAAATTGAATAAGGTTGTTGGATTAAATATTTTTGTCTCAAAGGTAACTTGACAAGATAGACATATAGGAGATGCCATTGCTGGTTGGTGTTTTTTGAAGGTGCATTGTCCAGGGGTGTGTGTGTGTTGTGTCATAATTAGGTGGTTTTATATTCCGGATATTCTAGAGCATTCTTTCTCAACCCTTGTGTGTCTTCTGGCTTCCTCAGGGGTGTCTTGACCCTTTGTGATGGTAGGACTGATGTAAAGTGGGAGAACAAAGGTTGTGAAACCCTGGTCTAGAGTTAATGCAGCACCGATAACTGCACAGAGAAGTGGTTTTTGGCTATTCTAGTCTTGATAACCTCTTCCTTCTGCTTTTAGGATCCTTCAAGGACCAGGATCAAGCAATGGCGAAACCAAGAAACGCAGCGTGGGGTGTTGTCAATGGAGTTCCCGCTGATCAAAGATGCACCTGTCGGTTCCTACAGCGTCATAGCTGAGAGAGAATCCAGTTATTCCATGTCACAATATTTTACAGTGGAAGAATATGGTAACTATTCTACAATTCATAACATCAAGTTCGGCCAAGATTGTGCTGAAATTTCACTCGCATAGCTCTCTCCATGTCTAATTATATGCAGCAGGGGCATTCCACACTCCTTTGTGCTGTGGGGCCAATTGGGATGGGTCAGAGACTGTTTTGCGCGGACTCTGGCAAATGTGGCCACACCAAGCCCCCGCAAATCACTATATCAATGATTTTAAAGCATGTCTGTGAAGGCTCTCCTTTTATCCAGGTCATAGTATAGCTAGTAATAGTCCTTTTTAATGTAATGTTTGACCTTTTTGCTACTTCAGCCGCCGAAATATATCGGGTGTAATTGGCACTTTTGGCAAGATGCCGAAGTGCTATCTTTTGGCTGAAATAGCGGTGCATCCCTGGTTTCTCTCCTCCCTGCTGGGCGCTGCTCTATGTCCCCTCTGGCACAGTGCCCAGGGGGAAGGAGAGAAACTGTCACAGAAGGCTGAGTGGTGCGGGGGAAGGGGGGGGGAGCGATGTGAGCGGCCAGCGTCTCTCCTCCCGCACCGCTCAGCCTCCTGTGACAAATTAGGGGAGCGGTGTGGGGGCGAAGATAGCTGTCAGTTTTGTCGCAGGAGGCTGAGCTCTCTTCCCGGAGACAGCTGTCGCAGAAGGCCGGCGGTGTGGGAGAGGAGTCAGCTGACACAGGAGACCGAGCTCTCCTCTCTGCACCGCTCAGTCAGCCTCCTGTGACCGTGAGTCAGGATGGAGAGAGGGTACAAGCAGTTAGTGATCGCTGAGTGTTTGTAAATAATTGAGGCAAGAGTATGTTTACTATGTCCCCAAGTATGAATGAATAGTGATCTACATCCCCTCCTGTTCATTCATGATCGTGGACATGGTAAACCCACTATATCCACAAGGTATGAATGAACAGGAAAACTCAGTGTAGAGGCTTCCTGTTCATTTATAACAGGGGCTGCAGAAAGATTGAGGGCTCTGTGTCTCTGAGGACTGTGTCCTCAATCTCCTTTTTCTATTTTAAAAGGGAAATATCAGTCTATTTTAGACCTCCTAATATTTTCCCTGAAGCCCCCAACAGTAAAGTTAAAAAAAATTACCCCCTCCCCCCAGAGAATCTGGTGAAGCAGAGATCTTCTCCCCAGCTTCTGTAGCTGGGAATGACCGCTAAATGCGGAAGTGATGTTATATAGATCACTTTCCTGCATTCGGGGACGTAGAGAAGTTCAGAGGGAGAATGTGTACCAATATCCCATATGATCTTCTGTCACAGAGCAGCCGTGCCTGTCCCGGCACACTGGGCACAGTGGCTCTTGGGACTGGTGACAGCTGCTGCTAATGCAAGCGATCGGGTGTCTCTAGAGATGCCCGATCGCTTGAATGTAAAGCTCCCGGCCGGCTACTCGTCGGGCTCTGGCATCCTCTCGTCAGATGGGCAGGCAGATTTTTCAAGCCCTGCCCATCAATCAATGTTGGCACTAAACTGATGAGCCATAAAAGTGTTTCAAGTGTCGCCTATGGGAAGTGTGTGTGTAATTTTTTTTGTGGTTTCACGGACGCATGCAATTTTAAGGCTTGTTTGGTATCTATTTACCCGGCGTGACCCCATCTTTTACATTTTACCAGAAAATTGGGCATTATATTCTGTTTCTGTGCACTAAATTTCATTTTAGTGTAATTTATCCTTAAAATACTTGTTTGACAAACATTTCTGCAAATACTGTACAACATAAAAAATTGCCACTAGCATCTTTTTATTCTACAGAGCCTCCGCTTTCAGAAAATATATAATTATTTGGGGGTCTGAAGCTGTTTTCTAGCCAAAAATGTGTGTGTGGTTTTTTAATAATGTGTGAATGTAAGAAATTGCTCCGGGCAGCAAGTGTGGTTAACTTATTTGTTCCATTTTGGTCTGTTAACAGATGTAACGAAACCTTTACATTTTATATTTCAATGCAAAAAGAACCTGTTGGTCCTGCAACAAATCCAATGACCTTCTAACCACCTGTACTCTCTTGCCTCTGCTATTCCCAAGCAGTGTTGTCAGCCCTGTACAGTTCTTTCTGAACTACAGGACACTTCCTCCCTATGTTATGGAGAAGAGTGCTGCAGTCCAAAATGGAAGAGAGCATCTTGGGGGTGGTAGCGCTGCCTCTCCAGATAATGTTCAGTAATTGAGTGTTGTCACCCAAGGACAGGAAGTGTTACTGGCAACATCAGCAGGTGAAAACGAAGTAAAAAAAAAACAAAAAACTTATGCAGCCACCACATAGAATGATTGGTGTGCTGCAATACAGAACAATTTTTGTTGTTGCGTTTCGACATACCCAAGTATGATCTAAACCTGACACATTTCCTTGTAACTGCTGTGATGTCCTGTGTCCTCCCACCAACCACGGTCTCCCCATCCTCTGGGTTCCACCATTTGCCCACAGTGACCAGGAATGTCCAAACTCTGGCCCTCCAGCTGCGGCGAAACTTCAAATCCCATGATGCATTTCTCTCCGATAGTCATGTCTGTAGCTGTGAGAATCCTGCAATGCCTCATGGGATTTGTAGTTCCACCACAGCTGGAGGACCGAAGTTTGGACACCCCTGCCCCACACGGTCTACATATAAAGGTAGTGAATCTGCGTACCGCTGATCCTATGCGTACAAAAACCTTATTCTGTCAGCAGTGACCGAGGCAATCCACCCACATCCTTCTACTGACATGCTTCGCCCCCCTACTGCCTATTGCCTTTTTAAAAAAAATTCTCCTTGGCAAGGGAAATCCTTCTAACATGGCACAGACTGGGAGAAGAAAAATTACCGGGTACACAACAGTTCCCTGTTCTTTCCAAAATTAAAGTAGAAAAAGTTGTCTTTTCAATGCACTTAACATGAGCAATATTGTTTGACTATAGACTATAGATTGCCTTCTCTGTGTTGGTAAAAATAATAAAAAATTGCTAATTGCGCTTATTTTGTGCATGTGACTTTCAGTGCTGCCCAGGTTCAGTGTGGCCGTGGATGTCCCAGACACGATCTCTGCATTGCAAGGTGTTCTGAAGTTCTCAATCTCTGCAATGTAAGTATTTGCGGGTGGTAAAGGAGTGGCCATACTGGCTGTGCTTCAGTCCAAGCCGGGACTGATGTGTGTGATTTTGTTTCAGAATGCATAGCATGCGGAATGGTTAGAACCTCTGGCAGATTTTGATTGCTATAACTCCCTATTGGTCTTCATGTCCCATTTTATTATTGGTAAAGAAAGTCATGTGAAAACTACAACATGTGGGCTTTCCTAAGAACTGGAGGTGAGGGGAAAGCTCCCAATGGTAATCCTGTTTCATTGACAACTTTGCTTTAAAGAAATCTCTTCTTACTTACCATTGTGTCTTTGGACCAGAAAGTGAAGAAAAAAAATCCCTGCTGGGAAGCGGGCAATAAGGTCTGCTTAGTGGAGGTGGAAAGGGGGGGAAAAACCCCCTTTGGGGGAAGGTAGATGATGATATGGCATTTTCCCAGCTTTCTCTCGTGGTGCCTATATGACACCTTCCTTCCACCCAGATCTCGGAGAATGTTGAGTAGCCTAGATCTTGCGAGAAGATGATCTTGCACTGTGCGGCATTGTCGCCTTGCCAGGTGTGGGCTGCTAAACATTCCTGAGGACAGAGAAGGGTGTTCTTCTGCGGTTCTCTGCAGAATTCAATATCTGTAACATTTGGAGTGAAATGAAATCCATTCATGATGTCCATAAGGGGCTCCGCTAGAATAAATGGTGTAGTGAAGGCTATACATATGTGTGTGTGTGTGTTTTCATGCTGTAGGTGTACTCTGCTACTAACTGAGGCTCTAGTAGGATGGCACCATAGCCAGATATATACAACAATGTTGAGCATCAAAGGGGTCGTTAACCTTCTTTTGCATGCCATGTTCACTACTGGAACAAAACCCATGGATACCTATACTCTTTATGATTGGCGGTAAGGAACTGGTAGCTATCTCTGACTTGACTGCTGTTTTTCTTCACCTCAGGTACACCTATGGTGAGCCAGTGGCTGGCAAAGTCACGATGCTATATTGTAAACAGTCCGGTTTGTACGGCAGACGCCAGAACTGCCTCGGAGAGAAAGGAGAGGTCTGCTCCAATATGACAGGAGAGGTGAGTAAACCCTACGCATGATGGGCTTCTGACCTTCAAGCTGGCTCATTTAACATGCTCCTCATGATAAATCTGTATCATAGAAATCCTATGGGTCTGACAGGATGGTGTGTGTATGTCCAAGCTGGCACTTGTTGCATGTAGATATATAGACTGGGAGGATGTGTCGTTTTTATTCTTTTGTTCATCAACAGCTCAGTCGTGAAGGGGTTTACAACGGTGCCATAGACATGTCTGGACGTTCCATGGGGTTGACGGAAATGTTCGTGCGACTAGAGTTTATAATTACTGAGGATGGAACAGGTAACTATCATATACAGTTGTGTGAAAAAGTGTTGGCCCCCCCCTTCCTGTTTTTATGGCAGAGCTCCAAGACGAAAATCGATGCTAAGCAAAAAGAACATAAAAGCTCGTCTCCGTTATGCCAGAAAACATCTTGATGATCCCCAAGACTTTTGGGAAAATCCTCTGTGGACTGACGAGGGAAAAGTTGACTTTTTGGAAGGTGTGAGTCCCATGACATCTGGCGTAAGAGTAACACCGCATTTGAGAAAAAGAACATCATACCAACAGTAAAATATGGTGGTGGTAGTGTGATGGTCTGGGGCTGTTTTGCTGCTTCAGGACTTGGAAGACTTGCTGTGTTAAATGGAACCATAAATTCTGCTGTCTACCAAAAAATCCTGAAGGATAATGTGTGGCCATTTGTTCGTGACCTCAAGCTGGAGCGAACTTGGGTTCTGCAGCAGGACAATGATCCAAAACAAACCAGCAAGTCCACCTCTGAATGACTGAAGAAAAACAAAATGAAGACTTTGGACTTGCCTAGTCATAGTCCTGACTTGAATCCTATTGAGATGCTGTGGCATGACCTTTTTAAAAAGGCGGTTCATGCTCAAACCTTCCAATGTGGCTGAATTACAACAATTTTGCAAAGATGAGTGGGCAAAATTCCTGCACAGCGCTGTAACAGACTCATTGCAAGTTATCGCAAACGCTTGATTGCAGTTCTTGCTGCGAAGGGTGGCCCAACCAGTTATTAGGTTTAGGGGGCAAAAAAATTTTCACACGGGGCCATGTGGTATTGGATTTTGTTTTCCCTTAATAAAAACCTCCCTTTAAAAACTGCATGTTGTGTTTACTTGTGTTTATTTTTTGTCTAATATTTAAATTTGTTTGATGATCTGAAACATTAAAGTGTCACAAACGTGAAAAACAATGAAAAATCAGGAAGGGGGCCAACACTTTTTCACACAACTGTATGTACTCATTATAATTTCCGTGTGTGTCATTAGTGTTTAATTTTCCCATACAGGTTCTGAAAATCGAAAAAAATATTTTCTTGTATCTTCCATAGGAATCCAAGTTTCAAATTCCCGTTATGTGTGGGTCACCACCCAACCAGCAAGGCTTAACTTTGACTACAGTGCCATGAATCGGCACTACAAACGGGGTATTCAATATCCTATTGTGGTGAGTAAATTCTACATCACTTGTGGAGGGTTCTAGGACATCAGTCCCGGCACTTGATGTAGGGCTGGCTGGAAACCTCCAATTTGGTAAAATTTGCTATCAAATTACTTTGTTTGTACAGGATTTTGATGTGGCCACTGCTTTTTCTGTTCAAATTTTAGAGATGAGCAAAATTGAATTTCATCAACCGTTGTAAACTGCAGCAAAATTGCATCGTTGGGTCGAAGGTTTTATATTGAACTTAATGGAGAAAGGAAAAAAGAAGGTGGCTTTTATGGGTTAATTGCCTTGCCGGTTTAATGCCTCCTGAGGGTTTCAGTTTTTCAAATATCCTGGACCTGGATATAATTTAAAATGGCACAACACAAAAAAACAATTCTATACACAAAAAAGGGGGAGAAAACATCCAAAGAACACTTGAGTTAAAAAAAATAGTCAAAAAACTCTTGTGATGCAGAACATGAGTGCTACAACAATGTAGCATATCAGGGGTCATGATAATTCAAAATGAATAGCAATATGTGCTAATGCATGACACAGTGCACATGATTCCAAGCTCCTTAACACAGCACACAAGAATGGGATCTAAATACTCCAAAGGAAAAAACACATTTTACATTAATGAAAAATAGGGGGGGGGGGTGTCCTAAGAATTTCACCCAAGTCCCAAAATCAATTTTGCCCAAATCACTCGGCTCCTCCATATTCAAATGTGGGTATGTGAGCATACTTTAGAAGTCATGAGATTGCGCCAATGCAGTCTAAACTGTTATATGGCTAAACCTTAATGGACACCTGAAAATATACAGTATGTTTGATATCTGATTTCAGAACCATGGGCATTAATCTGGAGTTGGCTTCCCCTTTTTCAGACATAACGGTCTCTTGTCTTCTGGGAAGTCTTTCTACAAGATTTTGGGGTGTCTGTTGGAATGTGCGCCCATTCAACCAAAAAAGCATTTGTGAATTCAGGAACTGATGTTGGATGAGATGATCTGGCTCACAATCTGCATTCCATTTCATCCCAAAGGTGTTCAGTGGGGTTGAGGTCAAGGCTCTGTGCAGGAAACTGCACCCCAGACTCCTTTAAACCATGTCTTTATGGAGCTAGCTTTGTTTACAGGGGCACAGTCCTGCTGGAACAGCAAAGGGCTCTCGGCAAACTCTTGCCACAAGTGCACACTTGTCTAAAATGTCTTATGCATTCTGTAGCATTAAAGGATAACTATGAGGTGAGTGCTTTGCACTCAGCCTCATAGTTCTGGCCGACCTGTGACAGTGAAACTGTCACAGGTCGGCTCAGTAGATCGGGAAGTGAGTGAACACATACCGGCGTTCGCTCACTTCTCGATCCTGTCACGGTGCTCTGCCGTGACAGGGGAGTGGCTGGATTCCCCCTTCCCGCTCCGATAGGCAGAGCCAGCTGTCACGCAGCTGGGCGGATCCAGGCATAATTGTCGGGATCCGCTCCAGCTGCGGCGTCTCAATATACCGCAAGCTGCATCTCACAGTATACTGCGGCGTCTCAGTGTACCGCAAGCTAGAGCTCGCGGCATACTGAGCCTAGGGTGACGGGAGGACGCTAGTTTGTGTCCTCCCGTTACCCTAAGGAGAACTATGGGGAAAATCCCTAACCCCATAGTTCTCCTTTAACAGTACCCTTCACTGGAATCCATTGTGGAGGGATAGCTACAGACTTTATAGTTGGTGTGGTGATCAGTTGTCCTGAAACTTTGACCATATAGTGTACCGTTTGCCTTTTGAGCCTATTGGATTCTTCAAGAACCTGTATAGGCCTAAAGAAATAAGAATACGACAGTGGCCAAATTATGGAAGTCATCTACACTTCCATTCTCAGAAGTACAGCACAGGCTCCAATGGACCTTTTTTGTCAACAAGTGACTTTTGGTGAGGCTGGCAGACATGATCCTCCGCATTGAACAAATTTGGAACCCATGGATCCAACACTTGTGGGTGCAATCTTTTGATGAGTGCCTGCTGACACTCTGAAATCTGATAGAACAATCCCATCCTTTGCTCCTACACCAGGAATGGACCAACTCCTTCCTTTGTCTCGCCTTTTCTGTCTATCCCTTTTTCCTCTTCTAACACTACTTGCCTTTTTCTCCATCCTACTTTGCCTCTTCTCCCAGTTAGCGGAGTGAGGTATTTATCTCTGTTTGGCTATCCACGTTCATACAAGGTTAATCTGGAATTAAGGAAGGAGCATTCAGCATGCTAAACAACCCTGTATCAGATTGCTATCGTTATACGTAATGCCTTCTGCTGTTTACTCCCTCCATGGAATGCTCAAAAAACTCCAGCTTTGTGTGATACCTCCATGTTTTATATATTCCGGTTATACTTGATTGTTATACCATTTGGAAAATCTCATAACTATTGAAATTAAGAATACAGTTCAAAGAGTTACTTATTTGACCTTCTTGCTTTAGTGCCAACACGTGTTTTAATAAGCTGGAGTAACCCTTGTTTATGTTGAATCCTAATATGTTGAAATGTTCACAGCTTATTTTGTCTTTTTTTTTTGTCCAGGCACGACTAGTTGATGAGCAAGAAAAGCCAATTCCAAACGAAGACGTTGAAATAGAGCTCAACCAGAATCTGATTGGGACTGTGAAGACTGACTCTGATGGGAAAATAGAGTATGGGATGGACACATCTGATATGGTGGCAACAAACTTTACAGTCCGGGTTAGTAAATTACTGATATTATGTTGGTGCAAAGATCCCGACACTGGTTGTGTTTGGTGCTGGAAGTTTTCAAATTGCAAAACTGGGGATGAAAATGCTCCCACTAACCTCAAAAGGAAGTGGTATGCAGGTAGAGATGACTTTCCTTAGTCGCCTGCAGTAAAACTTAAAGCTGAAGTTTATTCTTCCTATATCTTGCCCCCCCAACATGCTAATGAAATCCTTAATTACAATCTATTTTCATTACATACATTCTTTTAGACTCAGTGATGTCATCGCTGGGTCTCTTCAGTTTCCCTAAGCAATGCCAGCAGATCATGGCTGGTGGGAGGGGTTGGCAGGGTGCTGTACATAGCTTCCTGAAAACATCACGGCAACGTGCCTCAGTACTGCCCTTGGCCCTAATGCAATCAGTGGCATTTAACTTGTAACCGGTTTATAAAAATCTTAAAATGCCTTTGATGGGTGGGTGTCAGTCTGGAGGAGTGAGTGTTCTAGGCAGACTGTGTTTGCACTCTTGGTAAAGCCCGCTTGTATTGTGAGCTTTCATGATTGAAAGACCTAGATGATAGACATCCAGTCGGGGAAAGTAGACGGGCTCCATCTCACTTGCTGCAGCTTCTACTGCACATCGTGGGAAGCTCGCAGTGTGCGGCGAAGTCGGTATATCCACTTTCAGTACAATTCCGGGCTGCTTCTAAATGATCTTTCTGTTTCTACAGATCAGTTATAAGAACCCCGATCAGTGTTATTATGCCGACTGGAGGGACACAGACTATCCGACAGCTGAATACACGGCTTTCCGTTTCTACTCTCGAACGGGTAGCTTCATTCAGGCAAAGCGCATACGAGGAGAATTAAAATGTGGGCAGAGCAATAATTTTGAGATGCAGTATGCCATGAGCCGGGATGGCGTCGGAGAGAAAGCAACTTCAGTCAGATTCTATTATCTAGTGAGTATGATGGGGAAAGGGAAACGGAACCTTTTTTGTCTTGTGATATTGCATAATTGTACGCAGTAGCAATTCATTAGAGGTCTATTTTGTTGTTGTTGTTGTATCATTATTATTTTTAAACTTCTTTTTGTGCCATTGTGTATATTTTTTAACAGTGTTTTAACTTGCAAATGGAATGGAAGTTCATAAAACGTTTCTTGCATAGTATAGAAACAGATTTCTTTAGAAAACATTAGTTATTTTAAAATGTACTCAAAACCAAAACTTTATTTCGTTTTGGATAGAGTTGCAAATGGTCAAAGGTCTGCATGGACGGGGGTATTTCACAGGGGCCTAGCTAGAAATCACATGGCACCATAGCAAAATGAATAGCCAGTGAACACCATATTGCTACAGTCTTGTGGCACAGTGCCTAAGCTGAAACATTTTATTATATATGCTTCCATGTAGCTGGAAAACAATCACTATCCTTGGACGCTAATCACAGGCAGTGTGCAGCCGTTTACATGCAGTAGGCAGGGATCCCAACCTGAAAGAAGCAGTTTCAGGGAGGTGTCCCTCTCATTTCAGGGAGGTGCCCTCCCCCCCCGCCCCATCCGCAGAGGGGGGTTAGGGGGGGCTGGGAAAGAGCACCCCCCTGAAATGATGGTAGATGGCACATGAAGCAATAGCTTCTTTGCTATCTGCAGGGTTTTTTTTTATTTTAGTATTCCGACAGCTGCAGTCGTCAGAATACTGTAAATATATAAAAAAAGGCATAAGAATGCATAGCTAGATTCCTATGGGCTATTGCACTTTGCAATAGCCTATAGCAAACTAGCTATTGTACCCGCCCTCTGCTGCTTTCAATCACCAGAAGTGGATCTGATAGAAAAATTCAGGTCCCCCTGCTGATTGACAGCATCAGTGGGCGGGTGCATTAGCTAGTTGGCTATTGCAAAGTGCAATAGCCAATAGGAATCTAGCTATGCATTCTTATGCTTTTTTTTTTCTTTTCTGACTGACGGTCGGGCTGCGGCTCCTGATGTCAGAAAAAGAAAAACGATCGCAGGGAAAGGTTTCATCTGCTCGATCGAGCAGATTAAACCTTTCCGGGAGGAAGTGTTTCTCTCCCGGGCGGCCGGGAGCCACTATCTAATAGCGGGAGAATATTGAGTTGGGATGTTTGCAGTGGGTGACTATTAACTTAAATAGGTGACCACTGCTGCCACATTAGGGATTCCTACTGCAGGAAAATTCAAATTCCTGTCACAAATCCCTAAATCGCACCTAAACTGACAGGTCACAGAGCGTGTGAACCTGGGCTAATACACGCACACACTTAAAAAAAAAAAAGCAACCCCTATTACCTGCACAATCCCTGGTGATCTAGGGGTTGATTAGTATGGTCTGGTGCAGACCTTACTAATCCATCCTTTTGGCCAGAGCTCTGGCCAAAAGGAGCTTGCCGGCGCTGACTGGACCAGCTGTGCGGTCTGCATCTGACAGATGGAGCTGGATGGTACTGGTAACGGGCCGAAATTGGCCTGTGGGTTGGTATTTGGATTTGGAGACCCATACAAAGCCTCCCTTTCTGCTGCAGATGGTACCCCCCCTCCTCCCCCTACACACACACTTTTAGTGCATTTGGGTTTCACCCACCATTTGGCAATTAATTATTCTCCTCTAGGCGCCCCAGGTCTCTCACAATAAAAGCAATGCCCCTGGTTCATGGAAATGGCATGAAGGCAAATGAGACTGATCGGGCTTTGCAGTATTTTTTTTACGTTTTATTTTTTTTACAGGTGCACTTTATTGTCTAGCAAGGTACATTAGCTTGAAATGACTGAAAGCTTCTTAGTTATATAATATTTAATTTAGATTGTTTTTCAATTTAATCTTTGTGTATAACTAAAAACCTTTCTAATAAAAACCTTTCTAATTTTGTAGTGTTCTTTTATTATATACAATTTATTGCCTCCTCTTAGGTCATGGCCAGATCGAAGATTATTCACGCCGGTCACCAAGATGCTGATTTGACCAGCTGTAAGTAGTTTTATGTGTTCATTGTGCGAAAGCTTAATTAATACAATCGATAAATAGACTTCAAAGTAGTAGAACTGGTATGACATTTTGTTTGGCACCATACTTTCTCTAATCCTGTATCTGCATGAATTAAATGCGCTTTCTCCTTACAGCAATGAATGGCTCTGTTAACATCCCTCTCTCTGTGTCTGCGGACATGGCGCCCAATGCCAACCTGGTTGTATTCAGCATCTTGAAGGGAGAAGTTGTTGTTGAGAAAGTCGATATGGACATAGAGAAGTGCTTCAAAAACAAAGTAATTATCTCCTTTCCGTCCCTGTCTCTCTCTGTCCCTGTCTCTCTCTGTCCCTGTCTCTCTCTGTCCCTGTCTCTCTCTGTCCCTGTCTCTCTCTGTCCCTGTCTCTCTCTTGTCTCTCTCTCTGTCCCTGTCTCTCTCTTGTCTCTCTCTGTCCCTGTCTCTCTCTTGTCTCTCTCTGTCTCTCTCTCGTCTGTCTCTGTCTCTCTGTGTCTCTCTTGTCTGTCTCTCTGTGTCTCTGTCTCTCTCTTGTCTGTCTCTGTCTCTCTGTATCTCTGTCTGTCTCTCTCTCTCTCGCTCTGTCTGTCTATCTGTATTGGTCAGTGACCAGAAGAGTCGACCTCTGCTAACTTGGACCTGTGTTTTAGAAACAATAATTTTAGTCTTGCTCTTTATCTTTTTGTCTTGCTGCATAGGTTGACATGGCTTTCTCAGAAGAGAAGGGGATGCCGGGAGCCACCGCTGTGAGCGGTGTGCCTCAGGGTTCTGTGCTGGGTCCCATATTGTTCAACTTATTTATTAATGACATCGGGGAGGGTGTTAACAGCGATATTTCCGTGTTTGCGGATGACACCAAAAGTGGGAGGGTAATAGGCACGGACTTAGACATTATAACATTACAGGAGGACCTGGATAAAATAGGGGAGTGGGCATTAATGTGGCAGATGAGGTTTAATGTCGATAAATGCAAAGTAATGTACTTTGGAATTAAAAATAAACAAATGGGTTATACAATTATGGGTATGCCGCTGGGGAAGTGAGGCATGGAGAGGGATTTGGGGGTCATTGTAGACAACAAACAGAAAGGTAGCTTGCAGTGCCAGGCTGCTGTAAACAAAGCTAGCAGGGTCTTGTCCTGTATTAAAAAGGGGATGTATTGCAGGGACAAGTCTATAATTTTGCCACTTTATAGATCATTGGTTCGACCTCATCTGGAGTACGCGGTCCAGTTCTGGTCACCAGTACTAAGAAAAGATGTCCTTGAGTTGGAAAAAGTCCAGCGGAGGGCAACCAAACTAATTAGGGGTATGGAGGACCAGAGCTACGAGACAAGGCTACTAAATTTAAACATGTTCACATTGGAGGTGAGGAGATTAAGGGGGGATATGATTTCCATGTACAAAATGTTCAATGGCGGTAGCAACATTAGCGATAAACTGTTTAAAATTAACTCCATTACAAAAACTAGAGGCCATCACCTAAAATTGGTGGAAAGAAAATTCCAGCACAAGGGGCGAAGGGGGTTCTTCACAGTAAGATCAGTTAGGGTCTGGAACTCACTGCCACAGGCGGTGATTTCAGCAAATAATGTGGAATTGTTCAAGAAACTTTTGTAGAAGAAAAAGATATTTCCACAGTGGGGTGTGCAAATGCCCAAAGGGAGAAAAGGGGCTTTTTAGAAAACAATCCCAGACCTCAGAGATAAAATCTTAGAAGAACATTTATTTGAGATATCATTTTAAACATTATTAAAAAGCAAAAAAGTAAAAAAAAAAAAATCACAGATAAAAACATATGCGGATGCATTCACCATCCGGTGACAATTCCGTACAGTTATTAAATCTGCAGTTGCTTGTTTTCAAAGTTATATGAGTGCTCCTGTATGTCCCAACATGTTTCGCCCAAGCGGGGCTTCTTCAGGGAAAGAGAGCAGAAGAAAAATATATGTGTCGTGTATATATCTTCACGTTCAGTTGATCAGAAGCATAAGCACAAGAATATGATGAGAGCAACTGTATTTATATTCAGATAGGAATTGATTCTGTCGAGCAAGGATTGCCACATGCGATGCAGGTGGAGGGGTGGAGGGGTCGCGTCGGAGAGAGCACACTGTAGTCGTCAGGCGAGAGGCAGCAACAGCAGACGTTGTTGAATTGGAGGCTATAATGTTCTGCTTTTGCGCTGTAGTGTTTTGCTGTTTTTCTCCCAGACGTCTGGGAGAAAAACAGCAACAAACTACAGCGCAAAAGCAGAACTTTGAAAACAAGCAACTGCAGATTTAATAACTGTACGGTATTGTCACCGGATGGTGAATGCATCCGCATATGTTTTTATCTGTGATTTATTTTTGACTTTTTTGCTTTTTAATAATGTTTAAAATGATATCTCAAATAAATGTTCTTCTAAGATTTTATCTCTGAGGTCTGGGATTGTTTTCTAAAAAGCCCCTTTTTCTTTTCTCCCTTTGGGCATTTGCACACCCCACTGTGGAAATACCTTCTTCCACATTACAACCCGGGGTGTGAAACTTCCAGTACCTCTACCTAATGTTATTTCTTCAAGAAACTTTTGGACGATTTCTTTCGGGACCGTAATATACAGGGGTACAGGTACTCCTAGAATCAGATCCTAATAGGTTGGACTTGATGGACTAATGTCTTTATTCAGCCTCAAATACTATGTAACTATGTATGTAACTATGTAACTCAGCTCCTGGGTCCTTATGTTTTCTTGAATACTGCAACTACAAGATTTTCCAACTTTCTTCTGTCCACCTGGAATTTTTGGGTGTTGCATCACACCCTTTGGATGTTCTTGTCCACCTCACATGTTGCAGCTCCTATTGGATTCACCATAGTATAAAAAAAAAAAACAGGTGGCTGGAGAGAGACCTTCATAATGGGCACAGAAGACTTGCAGGCCTGGGAAATTGGCGCAGAGGTCTCACCAACTGAGACTCTAAGAGATCATAAGAAACTGACAGTTGCAGAAAAACCTATGAGGTGAGTGATTTACACTTATCCCCATAGTTAGAGCCGACGTGTGACAGTGAAACTCACACGTCGCCTCTATTGATTGGGAAGGGAGCGAACACATCGTCACTTCCCGATCCTCTTCCTGAAGAGCGGTGACTGTCGGTCACGACTCCCCACAGGGATCCCCCTCCTCTCTGATCCACCAGAGCTGACTGGAGGAATGAACAGGGAGGGGGCGGGCACAGCTGGCTCTGCCTCTAGATAGGCAGAGCTTGTTGTCAATCAGGCAGCTGGGTGGGTCTCGACAGTATTGCCGGGATCCATCCTGGCTGCGGCACTCTCAGTATATAACTGGCAATAGCCCGCTATATACTGAGCTTTAAGGTCACGGGAGGAGATTAGTATATGTCCTCCCGTGACCCTAAAGAGAACTATTGAAGAAAAAGGTTACCCCATAGTTCTCTTTTAAAGTAACAAAAAATGGTGGCCTGACCCTTTAAACTAGGTCTTCACTGACCTACATTCTGGTACATTTTCGCCTGCTTTAGTTTGTGTGCCTCCCCCTCCATGATGCCACCGCAAGGGTCAGTTTCTTCTAAATTTATGAGTAATCCATCTTGGAAGAATGACATTCAGCTTTTTAATGGGAGTTGGGTGAATAGGAAACCTCTGGTAGGGATATTTTGCAATCAGATGTGTGTGTGTGTGTGTGTGTGTCTGTCTGTCTAGCAACTTCCCTGCAACCTTCTAAAACAGAAGCTTCACTTTTTTTTTTGCTTGAAAGTATCCTTTCAATAACCTCAGACGTATGAAGGTAGGTATATGAGGGTGACTGTGCTGTGTCTTTATCCTAACTCTCTGTTTGTGTAACAGATCCATGGCTTATTTTCCTACTGGTCCTATGGCTACAATATCGCTGGTTTTAATGTGGAGGATCCAGAGCCTCAATGTCTAGACCCGAACAAGCTGATCTTCTTTAAAGGGATTGACTATTTACCTGTGAGCAGCGACTCTGAAAGTGACAGCTACCAGAATCTTAAGGTGAGAATACTTGTAAAGTCTGCTGAACTAAAGATGATCATTGTAATGTGTTAGAGAATCTTGTTGTAACCACAAGTAGATCGGAAAGTTTTTAAGGCAAACTTTTCACTTCTTCTTGGTAATGTATAGTGATGGGCCAAACAGGCCAGAGTTCGGTTCAAATTTGAACTCGATGCAAGTCAATGGGGGTAGAACCTGCTGCAGATACACCAAGAAGTTCGTGTTAACCGTAAACGTTGGTCCCATCATACCCGCGTACATACTCCCGCCGTTACCACTAGCGCAAATTCTATTCAGCAAGGCTCAGTGAACCATGCCTAATAGAACTATACTATGATTCCTGTGAATGCGAGTTTATCTGCAGGGACAACGCCATATTATTTCCAGTGCGTTGATCAGACTCACCAAAAAGCCACGATCGTATGTCCCTTCAGGCAGATATGTATCCAAATGATACCGTGTTCTCAAAGCAAATACATCCACGCCAAGCGAATAAATCTGCACATTACACAGGGGCACTGTGTACATCTGAGCACAGCGGCCGCGTCTCCACATCCATAGGACGGAAGATATCCACTCCAATGGTTTATCCTCAGTGCTGATTAACCCCGGCTATGCTCCATAAAACACATCCTAATAAAATTTCCCCAACAAGGTCATGCACCTGTCCATGAACGCGGAAAGATCTCATCTCAATTGCAAGCAGAATGCAAGATGTATTTGCCTGTTAACATAAGCCCAAAGTCCATCAACAATGTTCCTTACTTCAACTTACTTGGTAAGCTGAAGCAGGGCATGCAAGCTTGGAAGTCTTCCATTCTGTGACATGGCAAAAGAATTTGAGAGGATTCAGGATTTGGTCCAGGCCCTCCCCAACACTTTGGTGTACTGTGCTATGGTGTTTAAACATGTAGTCAGAAGGGCACAATTAAAACTTTGTTTCCAAAGTCTCCCTCAAAGCTGAGGTTCTTTGAAATTCACCAATGCTGCCTTGTGATCTGTCAAGCAGAGGAACATCGATGATTTCGTCCTGAAGGGGTATCCCAAATTAATCTTGAGGGATAGTTTGCCTGCTAGTCTGCTGCATGGTAGCTTATGAGAGTGAAGTGCAGGTGCTGGGTATGGATAGTGTTGGAGCCACCACACAACTTTGGACCCAATGTCTCTGCTTCTCTACAGTTTGACTGGAGTAAGATTGGGCAGGTTGCACTGAGATTATCAATGATCATAAGCCCCACTCAAACCCAAGAAACCTCCAAAATGTGGGCTTAAAATACATGATTATCCTTTTATTCTGCTGCAGCTCCTAAAGATAAGATCTTTATCTGGCATCTCAGAATGCCCCAAATTCTTCCCTAAAGCTAATAAACTACGTTGGGGGCCCTAGTGTATGTTCTCCGATGGGTTTTGCCCCTTCAAGAAATATTCAGTACTTCTAGATATGAAGGAGCATGTGACTGTAAAAAGCCAATCCCTGCAGTCACTTTTTACATGCATATGCTACAAAAATTGATGCTATCATGAAATTACATCCTGTAGTTAAAGGAGAAAAATGGGGTTAAGGCTTTTCCCCATAGTTCTCCTTAGGGTAACGGGAGGACACAAACTAGCGTCCTCCCGTTACCCTAGGCTCAGTATACCGCGAGCTGTATACTGAGACGCCGCAGCTGAAGCGGATCCCAACATTTATGCCGGGATCCGCCCAGCTGCGTGAGTGACAGCTGGCTCTGCCTATCTAGAGGCAGAGCCAGCTGTACCCGCCCCCTCCCCCGTCCGTTCCGCCAGTCAGCGCTGGAGGAGCGGGGAGAGGGGAATCCAGCCCCTCCCCTGTCACGGCAGAGAGCCGTGACAGGATCAAGAGGTGAGCGAACGCCGGTATGTGTTCGCTCACCTCCCGATCTACTGAGCCGACCTGTGACAGTCTCATTGTCACAGGTCGGCTAGAACTATGAGGTGAGTGAAAAGCACTCACCTCATAGTTCTCCTTTAATAAGCTTGACTCAAAACCATAACTTGAAACTGTCCACAAAAAAAGTGAATGCACATATATGCATAATAAGAGTATCACATGTGTTATTTAGTAAATTGACCCTACCTACTGTTCATGATGAGCTCTCTTTAGCCTCACGGCTGATGGGCCTTCTGTAGCCTCAGAAATCTGATGGCCCCATTCCTTCTCCCTTCCTTTTTTTTAATGTGTTTTTTTTTCACGTATTTTAGGAAGCCGGATTGATTTTTGCAACCAGAGACCAAGTGAGAAAGCCGAAGGTCTGTGACTACAGCCGATACAAGCCATCAAATCAGATCCTAACTGCAGATGGGGCAGGTAAATCGTGGCTTTTGATGCTTGAATCTAAATTTGTACCCCCCAACAAAAAAATGTCTGTCCCAATAGTGTTTACACATCTGAGTGCACTGACGATGTGATTTCAGTCCTATGAAAAAGCAGACCTGGGTAGACACGTGACATTTTATTTAAAGATGAACCCCCTAGCAAACAGCTAAACACACAGATGATACATATTGGTGAGCAGTTTTATCTTATCCCGTGGTGCCCCCTTCCCCACATAAAAACACACCTCCTGGCCCGGTGTCACCATTAGAATATTTCTGCTCGCCTCTCGTTCTGATAACACAATTTTATATAGGCTTTCCCATCACTTTCTGTCTCGGTGAGGATGGTCACCAGGACAAATGAAAGGGTAAATCTCCCCAGTGGGGACCAGGAATGGTCTCCTTTTGGATACTTGCATTGGTTCATATCTGATACTGGAGGTGTTCTCTGAATGGTGTGAATGACTCCCTGTGTTTGGTGTGGAGTGTGGAAGCTGCAGCCTCGTCCTCCCTCTCCCTCCGTCCTCCCTCTCCCTCCGTCCTCCCTCTCCCTTCGTCCTCCCTCTCCCTCCGTCCTCCCCTCCTCCTGTCAACCATCTCCTACACTGGCTGATGGAGATATTTTTGTAGGCGATATGCCTTTAGATTGACCTGAATGTTCCTGGATATTAGAAGTCCGCTTTCTGTGACGATGGCGTTCTTGTTTGTTTCTTGGAGAGGTCTCCTTCCTGTGTGTATTATTCTCCCTTAATTGTTTATAAGTTCCAGAAGCTTCAAGTTCCCTCAAAGTTGCTGCGACTCGAGGTCTTGGTGGCGGTGCCGGTGGCGCTGGAGGTCCTGCGATTGAGACTGTTCGGACGAACTTCTCGGACACTTTCATGTGGTTCATGGTTCCTCTTGAGTAAGTACCTAAAATCCTCCATGGACAAGCTGACAGTGTGCATGTGGTTAAGTCACTTGGTTTGCCTGACGAAGAAACCAGGATTGGTCCTGAAATGTTGCTTCACATTGTGAGACCTGTGATGCCAATAAAAGGATCCGACGTTTAGGACGTTGGAGTGCCAGAGATCTCTTCTTTCTCATTGGGTATTCCCCTCACATCTGTTCCAGTGACCACACACAAAGCAAAAACAAATGCTCCAACAGGGACACGGCTTTAAAAAGAGAAATAATGACCCTTATCAACTGCAGTTGCTTCTGTAAAGCTGAACTCCGGCCTTGCCTTCAGTCTTGCAGAGTTGTACAGTATCCTCTCCTGGACTGAAACCGCTTACTCTGTGATAAGCTCACAGTGTGCAGTGAAAATCGGTGTGCATTAGAAGCTGGAGTTGCAGGAAGTCAGAGACCTCCTTATTTCCTGGCATTTTTTTCCCCCCCATCTAGCTCTCTTCCTTCCCAGTCTTGATGAGTCGGCAGCATTGTTTTCTTGTTTTTGCTGGGAAAGCAATCCATGTATGTATGGGTGGAGTTCTGGTGTCCAGAAGGCTCAGGCAGGGCTGACAACCTTGGTCGGGACTTCGTGCAACAAGGGCAGCGTTGTCAGCGCAAACAGGGAGTTAGGATCAGAATGGATTTCTGGCAGATCAGCAAGTTTCTTTACATGGGGCATAATAAAAAGAATGTGTGTGTATATATATTTATATATATTTGTAAATATTTATATATTTTTCTATATATCTATTATTTATTAATAGATATATAGAAAATTTGTACTTGCACCTCCGGTCTTCAGTGGAGTGTCCTTGTTACAATATATATATATATATATATATACTGAGTGGCCAGATTATTATGACCACCTGACGTTTGTAGGCAAATTAGTTATAATTTTGCGCTGAAGTTGCTAGAGGGCCAGACCAGTATAAATAGGGAAGCGGGTTGTTTACCACGACAGTAGAAGTGATTTGTTTCTGAAGATACAGGTCATAATAATCTATGTATATTATTTATATCTATATCATCTAATTTATTTATTTTCTCTGACCATGCACTGTAAGAAATAGTCCAGTAAACCCAGACAAGTGACTGATTCCCTTACATTTGTGTTTCAGTAAAGACGGTCACGCTGCTTTATCGGAAATTGTCCCAGACACCATCACACAGTGGAAAGGAACTGCTTTCTGCCTGTCCGATAAGGGAGGTTTTGGGATGACCAAGTATGCGGCCAACTATACAACATACTTGCCGTTCTTCGTCGAGCTCACCAAGCCCTATTCCTTCATCCGGGGGGAGACTTTAGTCCTGGTAGCAGTTGTACAAAACTATCTGGAGCAATGTGTCAAGGTGAGTGCTGACTTGTGATATAATGTATAGTGCCCCAGCAACTTCTTCTTCTGTTGCCTCTTTGTACTATTGACTTTAGTTTTGAATACATATTTCACCCTCGTCTTGCTTTTATCGCATTTGTCTTATTATTAAAGTCTGCACTTTGCAGCTCTGTAGTCGGTAATACAACTTTAACCACTTCAGTACCGGCATGTTGCACCCTCTTCATTACCAGGCCAGTTTTTAGTGCTGTGCAAGTTTGGCTGAGAATTACTGTCATACAACACTGTAACAACATTCATTTTATCTTTTTAAAGACCAATCAAGCTTTTGGTTAGTTGTGTTTAATGAACCCATTCTTAAAAAGTGTATATTTTCTAATAATGTAAAGTCCGCTATTCCCCGTAGGATCGCTGGTTGCCCGGTTTACTTCTAGTCGGTCTAGGGCAGGCCTTCTTAAACTTTCTCCACTCGTGACCCCTTTTTGACCGAGGACATTTTTAAGGGACCTCAACGTCGGTCGGTGTCTCCCCTCTCCCCTAGCGTAAGTCGGTGTCTCCCCCCCCCTTCCCCAGCATCTGTCAGCGTCTCTCTCCTCTTCTCCCCCCGATACCCCCCCAGCGTCGGTCAGTCAGTACTACTAAGCCCCAGCCCCCTCCTTACCTTTACGTCCAGCAGCTGTGCTCCACTGCTGCTGAGTTAAAGAAAGTTCAGTCAATGTAAAAACATTTTTTTTCCTGCGCACACGTGCTCAGGAAGGTACCAAGTGCACAGGGGGTACCGCGACCTTAAAAACTACACTAAACTGCAAATAATACAGTAAACTAAAATAAAATAATCTGGCTTGGATTCCAGACCTCCTCGGCAGCCTGGGCCCCTCACACAAGTACTGGCCATACCCCCCTGATGGCGGTCCTGGCCGGGGACTCGGATCGTGACCCCCCTGTTCACTTGCGGGACCCCACATGGGGTCGCGACCCACACTTTAAGAAGCACTGGTCTAGGGGATGATCTTCAGCTGCCGCCCATTAGCCCTAACCGCCCTTCTTCTGGTGCCCACAGACTGATGTCCACTCCAGTAGTAAGATGATAAGTAGACTATTTATTAAACATTCTCTTTGGGAGAGAGGGTATAGGGGTTCTATGTGTCCTGGGGTAACCATCAGAAGCTCCAGACTCACCGGAACCTGTAGAAATACCAGTGTAGATCCACCTGGGAGACATCGGATAACCACTGATGCGACAGTCAGGGTGGATACAGATCCTCAATCCAGGAAAGACACCGACCATGCTCTGAAGTCCACTTAGTTCCAGGGTACTTCAAGAGCCTGCACTGGTCCCGGTTCTCTTCCTCTTTCAGCATCTCAGGCCTCCATGCTGGAGGCTTCAGGGAAACCTTTTCCTTCTAACCAGCCCATTCCCAGGCCTCGGCCTAGCCTGGGGGGCAGGCTGAACAGGACCCAGCCCTAATCCATGGCTGGTCCCGGCTAGTCTGAGCACATGGCAGATCCCACCAATATCTGTACCCTATCCCAGCATGCACCACTGGCTGAGAGAAGTCCAGTGATTGGCTGCTGTACTGTACATACATTACAGTATCTTCCATTGGCTGTCACACTCCGCCCAAGGGGGTACAGATCAGGAGTTCTAGCACGGTGCTAGAACTCCTGTCCTGGAGGTGAGGGGTTCAATAAAGAGAACCTGTCACCTCCAATTGCTATCAGACAGGAGATTGTTAGATCCTGTCTGATGGCAATAAAGTTAAGTGAGACTTTTTTTTTTTAAATAAAAATAAATAAACATGTAAAAAAAAAATAATTAAAAAA